CCAGGTCACCTGTCACTTTGACATCCATCTGGTTCGGAACGCAGCCCTGCGGGAGGAGCTGGATCTGCTGCTGGTGCAGAGGAACCACTATCTGAACATAGACCGCAAGCTGCACAAGGTCAGTGGCCCCCGACCCAGCGCCCCGCCCCCCAGCCCCGGCCCCGCTGGGGAGGAGGAGAGGAGGTGAGGAGGAGGGTCACCTGCTTGCTGCCCGCACTCAGGCCTCGGATTCGCAACGGACGAAGCCATAGGTTTACTTTCGTTCAGAGGGAATGGAGACCCGGAAAGTGCTCCCGGACGCCTCTAAACGGGAAGGCAGAGATGCCGTTTTGACTCTTACCACCCAGGGCAACCACGGAGCCAGCCCAGCCATTTCCATCCCCTGGGTTTCTCAATAGCCTTTGAAGAACCCTCCCTCCACCCTCCCTTCCCTGCAAGAATAGGACAAAGAACTCCATCTCCTTCACCAAGACCCACCATTTGCCGCATTTACCCGGTGTAATTATTATCTTGACTGAAAATAGCTTATTTCTATATCGGCTGAACTGCTTGCGGGCACACAGCAGGCACGGTGTCTCTGAGAAGTTCAGTGTGAATTTCCTAAAAACAAGACCATTTCCTCCCCCTCCCCCACCCCTTTATCCTCACCCAGGGATATGTTTTTATTGATTTTGACAGAGAGAGGAAGGGAGAAAGAGAGAGAAACATCGATCAGTTGCCTCTCATAGGCACCCCAACCAGGGATCGAACCCAAAACCTTTTTGGTGTACGGGATGATGCTCTAACCAACTGAGCCTCCTGGCTGGGACTTTTTTGTCTTTTTTTGTGGTTACTAGAGGCCCGGTGCATGGATTCGTGCCCTGGTGAGGTCCTCAGCCTGGCCTGCGCCCTCTTGCAATCCAGGACCCCTCAGGGAATGTTGGGTAGCCGGTTTCGGCCCGATCCCCACAGGCCCGATCCAGACAGGAGGGAGCCTGATCCTGTGCGTTGAGCATCTGTCCCCTGGTGGTCAGTGCACGTCCTAACCACCGGTCAACTGGTTGTTCGGCTGATGGGTTGCTTAGGCTTTTATATATAGAGATGCTCTTTGTTTGAAATACAGTTAGGTTCATTTGCTTCGGTTGTGTCCAGTTTTAGGTTGTATCTCTCCCCTCTCATTGTTGGTTTAATTTTCTCTATGAGTATGTAGAGCAGTAACAGGGCTCCCAAATCCAAACCACTCCAACAGGCATCCCAGGCCCAAACCGTTTCCTCCCCAGCTCTGCCCCATCCCCACCCAGACCCTGTGGTTTCCGGCTATCCATCTGGGTTTCTTTTTGCAAAAGTAAATGTGTGTGCATGTATATGTATATAATGTATATGTGTGCAGTATGTATGTGGTTATGTATGTATGTTTGTGCATTATTATTATTTAAAGAATACTTTACTGATTTTTAGAGAGACAGGAAGGGAGAGAGAGAAACATGGATGTGAGAGCACAACATGGATCGGCTGCCTCCTGCACACCCCCCACCGGGGTTCGAGCCCGCACCCCCAGCACGTGCCCTGACCGGGAATCCAACCTGCACCTTTAGGTGCAAGGGGATGACACCCAACCAATGAGCCACACCGGCCAGGGCTCTCTGTGTCTTATTAGTCCACACACGATATACTGTGCACACGCACGTGCGTGTATGCATATGTGTGTCTATGTATATTGCATGTGCATGAGTACATAGACACAGTGTACAGGTGTAAAAATATATCGTTTCCTCCCTTCTTTCTCCCGAAAGAGCCCTTTTTTTTTTTTTTAAATATATTTTATTGATTTCAGAGAGGAAGGGAGAAGGAGAGAGAGATAGAAATATCAATGATGAGAGAGAATCATTGAGTGGCTGCCTCCTGCACGCCCCCTACTGGGGATTGAGCCCGCAACCCAGGCATGTGCCCTTGGCCGGAATCGAACCTGGGACCCTTCAGTCCGCAGACCGACGCTCTATCCATTGAGCCAAACCAGCTAGGGCTGAAAGAGCCCTTTTTGCTCATAAACTGCAAAGACATTTCTGTGGGAGCAGGAAACGGACGAGTATGGTCACAACATGACAGTCACACACGCAGATGCCTGAACCCCAGCAGCGGATTCGGGGCGCTCAGGCATCCTCCGGCTGGGGGTCAGCCGCTCATCCGGTGGCTTCCCGCCGACTTCGTCCCTAAGATCCCCGCCCGCGGCCGCTCATGGGGAAGCTCCGTGCTCACGGGCGCGGGGCTCCGCTTCCCCGGGAAACGCGGGCGCTGAGACCCTCTGTTCGCTCCCGCAGGAGATGCAGCTCCTGCGGCGCACCATCAACGGGCTCACCGTGTCCTCCATCTCCGCCTACTCCGTCAGGTAGGCCGCCGGCGTCCGGGCGGGGCTCTGGCCGGGGAAGGGGCGTGGGGGGCGGTTCCGACCTCCGGAAACGGACCATCAGAACCGACGCTGTTTTGCATAAGGCGGCCCTTTCTCTGCGCGCCTCTCCCCGCGGCCTCGGGCGAGGTCCCGCTCCTGGCGGGTATGGCTTCACCTCTTGGCCCCCGTCTGTTCCTGGCTCGTGGCTCGTAGGGGCCTCGAGAGAATGACTTGAGGCTGCACGTAGCACCCGCTGCACGGGGCCTGGACGGCCAAGCATGGGCGAACGGGAGTCATTCTATGGGTGACAGGCACAGTGTCCCTCAGGCCACCGTCGGGTAGCGAGGCGAGTGGGCCTGCTCGTCGGCTTCTGTGTCTGTCTCCCCGACTCTCATGGGCTCCCTCTTCCTCCTCCTCGGGCCCTGCTCCTTCTGAGCCCCGGCCCTGGGGTCCTGCGTCTTCTCAGGATCCCGTTTCTACCCCGTGACTTCTGCTTGCTCCTGGTTCATGATCCCTCCCGCCATGGGCTGGAGCCCACGTCTATCTTGTGGTTTCTGGGATGTGTCAGTGTTATGGACCAATGTTCGCGAGAGTAAGACCACCAACTCCAATTAGGTCTTAGCAGCAAGCGAGGATTTATTGAAAGCTGGCCAGCGTCTGCAACAGGTGCCTCCACACAGGGAGCCCCCCCCTGCTGCAGCCCCGAGCCTTTCTCTAATAGCCTTTTTAAAGGGTGTCACAAACTCGACAGCGGCCAGTACGGTGTCACACCTGGCTGGAGCTTTTTAACCACAACCCATTCTTTGAACAATCCAGTGGAAACTACCTACTCTTTGAAAGTTTAGTAGAAACAGGTGTAACGCTTGGCTGGAGCGTGTCCGAGTTCCCGAAGTACAGAGTGACATCAAGATACAGAGAATACAAACAAGTTACAAAATTTTCTTTTACGTCAGTTAAAGGTTACGTATCTATACCCATTTCACTGTATGACGCTAAGCGTGCATGCCCATCACATCAGGAGTCACAAACAAACTTGCTCGTTTTAGTTATTTATTTTAAATGTATCTCTATTGGTTTCAGAGAGGAAGGGGGAGGGAGAGAGAGAGAGATAGAAACATCAATGAGGAGAGAGAATCACCCATGGGCTGCCTCCTGCACGCCCCCTACTGGGGATCGAGCCTGCAACCCGGGCATGCGTCTCCCTGATTGGAGCCAATCAAACCCGAGACCCTTTAGTCCGCAGGCCGTCGCTCTATCCACTGAGCCAAACCGGTTAGGGTGGAACATGACCTTTGTTTGTTTTGTTTTTTAATTACCTTTATTGTTGAAAGTATTACAGATGTGCCCCCTACTTCCCCCACTGACCCCCTCCACCCGGCTCCCGTCCCCTCCCCAGGCCTTCACTGCACTATTGCCTGTGTCCATGGGTTATGCATATGTGCATATAAGTTCTTTGGTTGATCTCTTCCCACTCACCCACCCACCCCTTACTTCCTTCTGAGATTCCCATAGATAGGAGCTGCCATCAGTTACTGGAAGAAGGGAAGATGAAAACATCTATAATATAGTAACATATAAAATTAATCAAGCCTAGCCCTTTAACTCATGAAAATTAAGGCAGAAATTAACATTAATGAATTAATAAATAATAGCAATCTATTCAATTTATTGAGTATCTATTCTCAATAATAGATATTATGCTGGGAATTGTACAAGGATTTTATTCATACTGTCTGTCATACTACTTTAATGATAGATAGATAGATATAAAGAGAGAGAGACATAGTGCAGTGAGGATCAGTCACTTGCCTCATCTCACTCAACCTAGTGAGGGAATGAGAATTTGTAACAAGTTCCAGTTAATTTCAAGACTTTTTCTCACCACTGTGTCGAATTAATTCAATTTTCGTAAACAATTCCTTGAGGACTCACCATATTCAAGGCACCAACTCTTTCCAATACAACAAAAAAAGACATACAACTCCCAGCTTTGTAAAAACACAAAATGACTTTTGTAGGCTTTTGTAGTTCCTCTAGTAAATCATCTAAATGTTTGTAATCAACACAAGGTAAATTCATAGTCTAGCAGGACTGCCGTTATTAGAACAAATGTTCTGGTAATCCTAGCAAAGCCAGGCAGTTATAGCATAGCAGAGGCCAACCACACGTAGATAACTGACACAGACATTGATCTGGGTCTGACAGCAACATGTCAGACACCGCCTTGCACAGCACAATAACTGAGCTAGGTCAAATTAGAAGAGATCAAATATATTCCTAGAAGTGGGATCACTGGGTCAAATGGCAGTTCCATTTTTAATTTTTTGAGGAAACTCCATACTGTTCTCCACAGTGGCTGCACCAGTCTGCATTCCCACCAGCAGTGCACGAGGGTTCCCTTTTCTCCACATCCTCGCCAGCACTTGTCGTTTGTTGGTTTGTTGATGGTAGCCATTCTGACACGTGTGAGATGGTATCTCTCTGTCATTTTCAAGTGCATCTCTGTGATGATTCGTGCCCTTGAGCATTCTTTCATGTGTCTCTTGGCCATTTTCCGTCCTCTTTGGGGAAATGTCTATTTCGGACTTTTGCCCATTTTTTAACTGGGGCGGTTTGTCGTCTTTTCGTTAAGTTGTATCAGTTCTCTACTTAGTTTGGAGATTAACCCCTTATCAGATGTGTCATTGGCAAATATGTGGAACATGACCTGTGGCTTCCCTCCCTAGATGCTCTCCTTTCAGCTTCTGGCCCCATTCTGAGCATTTCCCAATGACCTCCCCGAGGGAGAGAGTGTGACTGGCCGGCTCATCTTTCCCGCGGGCCCACAGGTGATGCCTGCTGGCCCGTCTGTGCACGGCCAGGACCCAGGCTCCACCGCACTCCCCACTGATTGCCACGGGCAGCCCCGCTGGGTCAAGGGCCAGGAGGTTTCAGCTGGAAGGCGGGCGGGTGTCATCACCGACACTTCCTGTCGGAGAGGCAGTATGTCCACTGCTTCCTCACCTGGTGGCCTGGGCCAGTCACTTCCCCTCCGTGAGCCTCCCCTGGGACATGGCAGTAATGACGGTGTCTGCCTCACGGCCCCTGTAGAGCACCCCCCGCAGGGCCTGGATCTCAGGTGGTCGGTTCCCTCTCCCCTGCCCCTCGTTGGCACGGAGCCCAAGGCACAGAAAGAGCTGTGAGTCCTGAGCCCCGAGGCGCTGCCACCAGAGGCAAGAGGGGCCACCGGGCTGGGGCTGGGGGTGCCCGGGAGGCTTTCCGCGGAGGGGTGCCCCGAATAAGCCTTCATGGACTTTGAACAGAGCACGGAGCTGGTGCTCTGGGGGAAAGGCAACCGAAGTCGGCAAAGGTGTGGAGGTGGGAACCGAACGGCCCACGGGCAGGGACCCGAGCGGACTGGCCTGCTGGTCTCCCCACCTAACCCTCTGACTTTGACCCTGTGACCTGTGAAGTACGACCGGGGCCCTCTGCACGCACAGATGGCTGTGCTACATTGAAAAGTCTAGAACAGTGGTTCTCAACCTTCGGGCCCTTTAAATACAGTTCCTCATGTTGTGACCCAACCATACAATTATTTTCGTTGCTACTTCATAACTGTCATGTTGCTACTGTGATGAATCGTCATGTGAATATCTGATATGCAGGATGGTCTTAGGCGACCCCTGTGAAAGGGTCGTTCGACCGCCAAAGGGGTCGCGACCCACAGGTTGAGAACCGCTGGCCTAGAAGCTACGTCCTGGCCGGGTAGCTCAGTTGGTTAGAGCCTCGTCCGGATACACCAAGGTTGTGGGTTGGACCTCCAGTCAGGGCACGTGCAAGAAGCAGCCAATGAAAGCATAAATAAGTAGAACAAATCAACGTTTCTCTCTCTCAAATAAATAGATTTTTATTTTATTTTTTAAAAATATATTTTTATTGATTTCAGAGAGGAAGGGAGAAGGAGAGAGAGATAGAAACATCAATGATGAGAGAGAATCGTTGATCACCTGCCTCCTGCACACCTCCTACTGGGGATGGAGCCCTCAACTGGGGCATGTGCCTTTGACCAGAATCAAACCTGGGACCCTTCGGTCCGGAGGCCGATGCTCTACCCACTGAGCCAGACCAGCCAGGGCTGAAGAAATAAATGTTTAAAAAGCAGCTCAGAAGCTACGTTTTCCGATGTGCAGCCAGGGGAGGCCCAGTGAGGGAGGCTTCTAGCGTCCCCAGAGTCCTAACAGGGTGTGTGCACAAGTGCTGGTGACGTCGCCCACCTGTCCCACGTGAGGTCCTGGGTGGCCCCAGCCCCTTATATTTCCAACCACACCCCCCCCACACTCCAGCACGCTGACCTCATCACCTGGCTGTCCCCTTCGTGGCCGGAGTGTCTTAACTGTGCCAACCTGCCCCCTCCCTCCTCCATCCCTCCCCCGCCCCCAAGTTCCAGGCGCCACCCGCGCAATAACGCCCGCCTCCCGGGTGCCCCTGCGCACTGTTAGCCAGAGAGGAGGTTCAGGCTGAAATAAAGAACAGGAAACTCTTATTTGAGCAAAAGGATTGCAATCAGGCAGCAACTCGGTGGCTCTGGAGAGAACAGAGAAGGGCAGGTTCATACCTGAAGGCAAAAGCCACGAAGCGTCATTCTCTGACGCAGAGGAGGCGGGCTGGCCGGGCTCACAGCGCTCGGAAGGGAGGAAGCCAAGTCCATGTGCCGGGTAGTCGGCGCAGCAGCTGTTGGCCAGGACGGTTATGGCTCCGGGTTGTCTAAGGCTCAGCCTCGGTCTGCGTTTAGCAACAGGTTTAGCAACTTCATAGCAGCTCCGAGGATGGAGGCAGATGCGCCCCCGCCACGCTCCCTAATAGCCTCAGAGCTGATGTCAGTGGCTCCCTGAGCAACGCCTGTTCCATTTCACTGTTTCCATGATCAGCTTGTGGGCAAGGCCGTCGGCCCCTGACCAGGCCCAGCACCCCACAGGCCCTGACTCCCGACCCACCTCGAGAACCTAGAAAGTTTTCTGTCTTTTGTCGCCTCAGGGTAGCAGCAGACTAATTCTACCCCATCCCTGGGACTCCAGGCGGACCCCGCCCATCCACCCCCCAACCCTAGACTGCGCCCACCCACCCACCCACCCCTGGGACCCCACGCTGATTCTAATCCAACCTCCATCTCCCCGACCCGACGGACCTGCCCAGGGAGGAGGCGAAGACCAAGATGAGCTTGCTGCGGGAGCGGGCCGACAAGGAGGGGGCCCAGAACGAGACGGACGTGCAGATCCTGCAGCGGCAGATAGCGCACCTGGACCATCTGCACCGCTTCCTCCAGTTCAAGAACCACGACCGGCAGCCGGATCCCGTCGTCCTGGAGAAGCGCGAGAAACGCGGTGAGGCCGGCCGCCCCCTCTGCACCCC